CAGGTTTGGTCACCATATCTTAAAAAGGACATAGCGGCCTTAGAAAAGGTGCAGCGTAGGGCCACAAGAATGATTCCTAGTCTTAAAGGAATGACATACAAGGAAAGGTTATTTGAGCTAAATCTGTTCAGCCTCAAGCAAAGGAGACTGAGGGGGGACATGATCCAGGTCTAGAAGATTCTAACAAGTTTGGATGCACTTCTTTACACAGCGTGTCGTCAGAGTATGGAATAGTCTTCCTGTTATCGTAGTGCAAGCTGAATCCTTGGGTTCCTTTAAATCAGAGCTAGATAAGATTTTAACTAAAGTTAAGATTTTAACTTAACTTTAGTTAAGTTCTCCCCAAGCGAGCTCGATGGGCTGAATGGCCTCCTCTCGTTTGTATAGTTCTTATGTTCTTATTTTAATTGATACCATATTGGTACTTTATTGCTTCCCGTATAGAAATTCTCTTCACGCCTCCCCCAGCTTGCTATTTGTAGGTGAGAGCAAGCTGGCCATTGAAAGGCAGCCAACTGTTGCAGTGCCCAGGGAGCTGGGGGTTAAGGACCTTACTGAAGGACCTGCAGACGTGTTGAGGCTGGGCTTGAACCAGCGATCTTCTGAACGCAAGCACAGAGGCTTAGCCCACTGAGATTATCCAATTTAAAAATTACTATTATCTATGTGCTACATTTACAAGTCTTCCATTAATTTAGCTTTCAATAGTACAGCCATGATGTAGAACCAGTGTCCAGGTGAGGATTCGTGTTCTAAACCACCAGTACTGACATGGGAAATGCATCTTGATGCTGACAGTGTGATGCAAAAAGCCAGTGAAAGTGCAAAAGAAAAGATAGCTGATGTTGTTTAGGACATCCTCATAACTATTCAGGAAGCACACTTTCTTGTCAAAGGTTGTGAGGAAAGATGAGAACTCATTTTGCCAGCATTCAGTTTTTAAGCCACCTCATTTTTTTTGCAAGGGGAACCAAAATGTGCAAAAAGTATCAGTTTGTATCCTTAAAGACACATGGATGAATAGCAGTGTCAGATGTGTTGATCTGATTGCTCCATTGTATTTCTGCAGCTGTCTGGTATAGGATGGTTATTATAGAAATGGAAAATAAATATTATTGGATGTGATCCATGCAAATGGTTGTGAGCTGTCCACTCGCAATCATGAATTATCTGGTTTTCAAACTTTGTGGGTAAAACTGAAGAAAATGAAAGTGACTAAAAGTCTGGAGGTTTAATCTGTTTTATATCTGACTGGGTACAACAACTGCAGAGGGAAAAGTGTGGATGAAATATTTTTGTGTATTCTCGGGGTGATTGCACAATACTACTGAAACCCACATATAGGGGAAGAATAGGGGGTCTCACCTCCATGGCCGCCAGCTTGGAGGGGGAGCTCTGGGAGCCTGAGACAGGAGAGAAGGGGCTGAGGGGGCTTGTGAAACTGACAGAACTCAGTGGGCTGGCAGGGCTGTTTGTGCTGAAGGATCCGGATGCTCCGCTGACCACTGTAGAAGAGAAGTGAACAAACAGAACAAACAGACATGCTGTGAAAACATAAGGCTCTATGTACTCCATTGTTCAACAAATATAGATCAGTAAATAATTATCCAGTAAGTTTGAAACTCAATGTGTTCAAACTTATGTGATCAATGACAGTCCATGTACAATTTGATGTGCTGCATTGTTTTTCTGTCTCTTCTTAGTCACTAAGGTACTAACAGAGACAGTTTGGTAATATTTATTCCTGACCCCCTGCCTGTCAATAACTACAGTACCCTCTATGCTGTTATTACCTCTGTTTTTGGCAGTGTCCATGCCCCGGGATGGGTTCTTCTGCAGTCCCTCAAGCACATCCTGGATTTTCCAGAACTCTTTCTGGATGTGCCGATGCAGCAGCTCATTCTATTGTGCAGTAAGTAAAATACAGAAGTAAAACATATGATGAAGATTATGAATGGCAATTGGTGTCAATATGCATGCTTCATTCAGCTTAGTCGTAAAATAGTAGCAAAGGAAAACAGCAGAAAATCTGCTGGATTTGACCAGGTCCCCCCAACACACTTAGGGTCTGTGCAAGTCAGCTATTGGCCACATTGGCACACAACTTTCTTTGAATGAGTGCACATCCCTATTTTTAAAAATACGACACATGTTTCCTCCTCCCTTAATGGCTACAGACCCACAACACACATACATCTGTCATCATGGCTCTCCCACTTTAAACCACCACTGAATCCCCTAAATAATGTAGTTAACATAGGCCGAAACTATATGCTAATTCTGTCTGTTTACTTTACATGCCTCCTACCTAACATTATACTCACACTAAACAGACTCATACTTAAACAGTGACCACAGAGCAACTCTTATTATTCACTGTTAAGTTCAAACTCTTTTATTGGCAGAAAAACATTCCTCATGTATTCTTGTCAATGAGCATGGTGAATAAGGGTGTAACAATATCATTCGGTATGTACCGCGGTTTTGGGGCTATGGTAACAGTAAAGTTTCTACGACGGCGTATTAGGCCCACTGTATATAAAAAAAATAAAATGGGGTTGGGGAGGGGGGTAAAATTACGAGAAAAAAGTCAGAAATTCTGACATTAATGTCATATATTTGCGTGAAAAAGCTCGGATATTCTCTGATATTGTAAAATCACACAGAGGCACACGCTCACGGTGAAGAGGTGGAACATGGCTGAATCAGGAAAGTGTACCTGTGTTGAAATGAGATGTGTAGAGTCGGTAGGTTATGTTTTATGTCATGTGTATTATGGTAGATCACGCTTGTTCGGTTAAGTCAGTTACAGAGGTTTACAAAAAAAATTTTTTCCAGGTGCTAAGGTTTTTTTAATAGACTTAGGGTATTTTGAGGGTGCTCAATTAAAAAATCCCATTACTTTTGCTGAACTGGTTCTAGTTTTTGAGATAATGGACATCCATGAAAATAATGCATTCCTCTAATGCGACTTGTGTGTGATAACAAATGCAATAGCTTTTGGTCTGTCTTTTGACTCTTTAACAATGTCTTAGGTAATGAAATATCATTATAATTATTTTATATTTTAATTTGTAGGCCTATAAATTGACTTTTTGAAACCAGAATTCAACTGTGAATTTGCAGAGGAAAGAAGTTGGCTACAGTATACATTAAATATATTAAATATCTCAGAAACTAGAGCCAATCTGGCAAAACCGAAGTCATATTCTTAATCAGCACCATAAACTTAATATAAAACCATTCAGACATCATTGGCAACAAAATCACTGTATTCCAGTGTTATTTAACCTCGTAGTTAACGCTGCCATACGTATGTAGCCCCCAAAGACAGGCTATCTGTCTGTACAGCTGCACCGTCATTTTTATCCGAGGTTCAATTAAAACATTGCATGCCATAATGCTGACTAGTAGGCCTACAGTGAGCAATATCTCTGATTTCTTTGATACACACCACGTGCATCCCCTTCCTATGCACACAAATCCATGACATATGTCATTTTCACTTCATTTCATTACAGTCTCATAGTCTCACAGAACTTTGAAGAGACATTGTAAAAATTTAAATGGATGCTGCACATCAGTGGTAGTGAGGCGCCGTGTGAAGCGCCCACTGGCGAAGTTTCACACAGGCATTGTGGTTCCGTGATTTCCTCGTTTTTTATGACTTTAAAATCTCAGGGAATATCTGACATTTCTCACAAATTTGCGACTTTCTTATCTCAAAGAATATCTGATTTTTTTCCTCGTAAATTTGTGGGGTTTTCTTTTTGTATATTTGCCACTTTAAACTCAGAGAATATCCAACTTTTTCTTCTCATAAATTTACTACTTACGTCTCAGAGGATTTCAGAGTTTGCTTTCTTGGAAATTTATGACTTTACAATATCAGAGAATATCCGATTTTTTTCTCGTAAATTTACATCTTTAATCTCAAAATTTTGGACTTTATTGTCGCAAACTTATGACTTTACAATATCAGACAATATCAGATTTTTTTCACGTAAATATATGACATTAATTTCTGACGTTTTTCTCGTAATTTTACCCCCCTCCTCAACCCAGTTTTTATATATATATATATATATATATATATATATATATATANATATATATATATATATATATATATATATATATATATATATATATATACACATATACACACACAATGGCCCAAATACATCATTGTAGGTTTCTGTATCCTCATGTTTAAGAAAAAAAAACATCTCCCTTTAATTAAACAATGAACTGTTTATGTTTCCAAATAATTGTATATTTAGCTTGGTAGCATCATGTTTACTTACCAGGTAGGGGTGTCATTGTATACGGTATTTTATCAAGCCATTCGGTACAATGTGACAGTATTATGATATGCCTGTCATTTTCTTATAAATACTGGCACAAATATAAAATTGTGTTTTTCCCCAAAAAATAAATATAAAAAACTGGGGTCGCATTTTCAAGGGCTAAAATTTAAATGTCATTGTACATTTAAACAACAGATGGCATACCGAATGGTTTGATAATATATTGAACTGTGAAACATACCAAACCATGGGAAAATTGTATCATATACCCCTAACGATGAATAAAAGTTATTCCGATTTTGGAGCAGATCAGTGATCCGAGACCAATAATAGCAGAATGAGAAGTTAGTGGGACCTCATCTAATGATCAAATCAGGCAAAACAAAGGCTTAGAAACTGATGCCAGTTTTTTCATTCCCTATTAAATAGTTGGTCTTCCAATTGATTTACACCACCAGTCAAAAACTTTTGCACACCACAGGTTGCTTTTCTATGCATTTCAAAAACTGCAGATGTTTTTTTTCTTATTAAGCACTGGAAAGTTGAGTCAAATAAAACAAGTTTCCTTTAGAGCATGGAAAAAGTATGCGACAGTGCATGTCTGACATCATATTAACTGGTTGTGTGATGATGGCATAGTCAAATTTTAGGCTGTCCTTTAACTTTAAATGCACTGGTTAACTGTTTCATCCCATGAAACAGAGCAGTATTTAATGTCCCTTGTAGAAAAGAATGCCTCGAATTTTCTCTGCTGTTATAACTGCTAGAGAAGGTTACTTTGATGAAGGTTTCTTGCTAATGAATGTACTGAAAAAGGTGAACATGCTGTAAATTTAATTGTTAGCAAAGAATATTGAGTATTTTTTTTAGCAAATGTTAAGTGATTAACATTCAAATGTAGAAAATCTCAGGTTGTGCAAAAATGTTTGGTAATGTAGGTTCTGTTGGCACTTCTGCTGTACTGGGATCATAATAAGAATAATAAGATTATATTTAAAAAAATCAAAAGAATAAAAAATGATATGTGCTATGCTATGTGGGTTGGGTCGCAGAAGGTTGCTGGTTCAAATCCTGTGGCCAGTAGAGTGATTGCCACCTTTGGGCCCTTGAGCAAGGCCATTAAACCCAATTGCTCTGGGGACTGGCTCATCAGATTCATGAGGTGGCCCCCTGAGATGCTTATGACAGAACAGAAACCCTCACTTTTAGAATAGAATAGCTACTTTATTGTCATTCAGAAGATACACCGGTTAGTGTACATCAGAACGAAATTACGTTGCATTGACTCACCATTGGCCTAGCAGAGTGTATTACTACTAAAAATCTTAAACTTTAAAAATATAAAATCTAGATAGAAAATAGAATATAAAGTAGAATTAACATAGAATATACATAAGAATATATTAACAGCAGTATAGCAGCAAAAAAACATTTTTATGTACATTGTCGTTTCAGACATATTGCACAAGAAATAAAAAAAAAAAAAACAGTTCTTGAAAGTGACATGTGCATGGATGGAGAGAGGCGGATTGTGGGGGGGGGGGGCGTATACCTCTGTCTTGAAACATTAATCAGTACATTAACGGGGCCATGGTGGGAAAAAGAGAGATTTTGTAGGGATGCATAATGAATGAGTAATTAATAATTTAGGCCTGTTAATAATTGATACGAAAAAGTCTACTTCTGTATTATCAAGTTTTAATTTAGCTGTTAAGCTTTTATTATTATAGTACATTCTAAAATGATTGAAAAAATTACATGACAGAATCAGTATACTGAACTAAATTAAAAGAAGGCCATTTGAAACCTAGGACACAACTGGCTTATAGGTGTCGCTTTACCTGCCCACCAGCGTTAAGCTGTTCCCAGAGGTCACCATGAACAGCATTAACTTCATCCTCTAGTGCATCAAACTCCATCCTGGTTGTGGTCAGGGCCTAATATTATTAAGAGGAGAAGCACTTATTGTTATTCAAACTTATACATAGGCATACAACTTTAAAAAAAAAAAAAAAACTGTAATTAGATTTGTCACTGTTCACATTTGGCATGTTGATCTATTAGCAAATGTGTCTTTCATCATCATTCCGTCCTGTGTTTCTAAAACATTACAACAGGTGACTTTCTGTCTTCTCCTTGCCATATAACATATTATTGAAGTCAACAACCATCAACCACTCCGTAATGCCTTAGATGTCAATGGTATTTTGTTTTCTATGCTTTGTATGTTGTAACTCACACCCCTCCCACCAAACATTGAGTTCCTAGTAGCCTTTCATCACCCATTAAGCCACATCCCAGCTTGCATGTCTTACACTAGATGACTGTGAGAGTTCTCCACGAATATTGATGAGCTGGTTCTGCAGTGTCTCCTTCTTCAGCTGTAGCTTGCTGGTAACAGAGGGCTGGCTCCTGTACACCTCCAGTTCATGGTGTGTGGCCACCAATGCCCCCTCCAAGCTCTCCTGGGTGCCATAAGTCAGCATATAATAATTGTCAGGGAAGGAAACTCATCTTTACCAGATACTTTTCACTTGGTTTTGCTCCAGATTCTTCAAGGTGGCTTTTTTTTCTAAAAGCTGTAGTTAGAATATAATAAATGTAGTATGACACTTCGTTTCCTTTGAAAGCCCTAAACAAAAATTGCTGATAACTTCCTTAGTAAATCAAAAAGGAATGACCGATAATTCCAGTAAGCATGAATGATCAGGTCTTCTACTTACGATTAGACAAGTTTTGGGAGATAAAGTTTAATTGTAATGTAAGAATTGACCTTTCAAGCCTCATGATTTAGATATTGATTTTGAAACCCACTACTTCATTCATTTGCCCTAGTAATGCGTACATGTTATCAGCCTTTTCCCAAAAGTGTTAGCAGTCAGAGTTCTTGGATTTACAATGTTAGACATACCTTTTCCATACGGAGACGCTGAACTATTGCCTCCTGCTCCTTCAAAAGTCTGTGCTGGTCACATAGTCGGCCCAGTAATTTCTACAGAAAGGAGATTACAAAGGTCATCTTCACAAACATCACTGTTTATGACTGAATAGTAACAAAATTAAAGGTATATTAAAATTTTATTCTTAACAGCAGAGAGACAGCAATAAAAACTATTATGATTAAATGCAGAATTAAGTAAGAATGAAAAGCCTTACGCCAGTTTCAATCTCATTAGCCTTGTACAAGGGGTGAATGTCCCTGTAGACCTTATGGAATGGGGGAACCTGCTGGAAAGAAAGGAAAAAAACTGAATGACTATTAAAAACCAGCACAGGTTTAAACACTGTAGTTAGGACCAGAAAATATTCTTATACAGTATCACACCATGTAGTCTAAAACAGATGTAGTTTTGCAAATGTAAAGTGTTGGTTTCCGATGGTCTAAAATTATATTGTAAACATGTAATAATTTGCTCAGTTTTGAGAAAATCATTCAAAACCAGTCAATCATTTGAACAACATTGTTAATAATGATTTCAGCATCCATTCTTTTAGAGATAAGATATTCGACTTTTAGATAAATAAGAAAGGCTGTGTTTAGCATTTTGCCGTGAATCAGTATTTTTAGTGGACTAAATTTGTCCTTTATAATTTAAGGGTTTGGATGAAAGCAAAGCAAGACAGACAGTAAATGCAAGTCATGAGATGAAAGGAAAAGGGAAGAGGAGGTGGAAGAAAATTAATCAAACCATTATTACTTTTTTATTGGTTTGGGGTGGGGTCTTATGCCTGTGATCTGAAGGTTGCTGGATCAAATCCTGTGCTCGGCAGAGTAGATGCATTACCACTGGGCCCTAAATTTTTAACCTTAAAAATGCTACAGGGGTGCTGGATAAATGGCTGACACTCAGACCCCAAACCTTTTTCTCACCTGTATATTGTAGCTGTCCAATGAAAAGCAATAATAATAATAATAATAATAATAATTAAAAAACAACTACATAAAGGACTCTTGGAACAACATCAATGTACTCCATGGCCCATCCCATCACCAGCTCCAGCCATCTAATACTTACTCCTCCACCTCTACAATTTCTAGATGTTCTGTGTGGATTAACTGGAAATGTAAAAGTAAAAAAATGTATATAACGCTTAAACTACTTCAATAAATTTTTTGCATATTCCACATGCACATTTTGCATCTTTCCAAACCAGTTTGATGGTAATCCATACTTCATTTTATATGTCTTAAAGTGTAATTTGTATCATTCATATTTTTATGTCTAATTGTTTATGTTCTATTTATTTCTCATTTGTACTATGACCAGCATTTTACGTGACATTGCAGTAAAAAATGTAACAGATGACTTGAACATGTGTTGTCAACGTGCACGGATGTGCATGATCTCCGCTGGACAACAAAAATCTGGCCTACGCCTTAGGCAATGTCTGCAGCCGGTGTAAACCCTGATGACAAAATTTACGTTACACTGTGCATGACCAAAAGTGCCCACGGAATAGTGAAGTACAAAACATTGGTAAAAAGTAATATATGCAAAAGTAATATCTCTGAACTCGCAGGCCTGCTGTGTCTTGCTTGTCTCTGTGGACAAGTCAAAAATGACTCATAAACTCTCCAGTTTACACCAAGTCTGAATTCATGTGTCAGTAGTTTAAAGCTTTTAAAAGTTTAGAAGCATATACGTATTTTCTGGCTGGTTATGTATACATACAGGAAACTTCCAGAAAATCACCCTATCATATCAAATGTGAGAGTTTTATCCTTATTTTATTAATGCTGCAATGTCTAATGACAGACAGACAGTACATAAAACAATTGTTTGTTAATTTTTATATCAGTCTTGGGCTGGGTGATATGGTAAAATTGTCATGACCTGCTCGTCCGATCCTTCTGTGTGCCACGCCCCCCTCGTTACCTCGTGTTAATTCCCGATTGTGACCACCTGTTGCCTGTTATTTTCGGCTTGTCCTGTGTATTTAGTCTGTGTCTGAGTCAGTTTTCCCCAGATCTACCATTAACATTTGTCCTGTGCTGCTCCCTTTCTGCTTTAATAAAACCCTGTTTACCCGTATTCACAGCTTCCTTAGTCTGCGTCTCCGCTCCCTGCTCGTTCACTCGCGCAGGTTGCAAAAGAATGACAGATCTCGGAAAGAAGACGCCTCCACTGACGGAGACAGAATACCGCACGCTAGTCAGCGAGACTGTATACTGGATGCAACAGCTAGACATCCAGGAGGACCCTGCCGCTCGCACCTTAGCGATTCATACGGGGGACGTCCTGCGAGGGATTTCCCCGTCAAAGGATGTGTTCCTGGCCGAAGAGGTGAGGCTGAATTTACGGTAGCTCCGAAGTCGGGTGGCAGAGATAAACAGGCAGCAGACTGCCCTAGATTGTGGTCTGCCCATAGACCCGCTGGCTAATCTGCCCGACGTGTCCCCGACTATAAGCCATAATAAGAAGCGAACCCGGAGGTGCCCAGACAAGTCAACAATGGTCCTGGGGGCTGTCTCTCTCGCCGCTGCTTCTCCCCCTGATCCTGAGCCCAGCGGCGTTCGCTCCCGACATCACCGCTACCGGGTTGAAGCACGAGCGTGTGTCGGATGCAGCCGCTACTCGGCCAACGCTGGTAGCTCGCCCCTTCCAGGACTCACGCCTGGGTCTTAAAGGGGCCAGGGCAATTTGGTATGCCATCCTATGAGTTCCACGGTCCCTTAAAGGGGCAGCGCCTGCTCTTGAGACGCCAACCCTGACAGCTACACCTGATGTTCCCGACCCACTGGCGCCTGATCTGCCTGTCCCGCCTGTCCAGCATGATCTGCCTGTCCCACCTGTTCAGCCTGATCTGCCTGTCCCGGCAGCTACTGTACTGCCCAGCGAGGCTCTGGCTGCGGCGCCAGCGAGGCTCCGGCTGTTGGCCCTGTGTTGGCGGTCGTTGCGGCACCCCCTGTTGGCCCTGATTTGCCAGTCGCTGCAGTTTCTGCTGCATCGCCGCCTCCTGCGTCGCCCGAGGTTCCTGCTGCATCGCCGCCTGTTGCGTCGCCCGAGGTCCTGCCTCCGGCCACTGCGTCGCCCGTGGTTCATGCTCTGGCTCCGCCTGCAGGTGCTCCGGCTCCTGCCCCGGCTACACCTGCAGCTGCTCCAGCTCCTGCCCCAGCCCACCCGCGCCCGATGCCCTGGCTACGCCCGCGCCTGACACTCCGGCTTCGGCTACGCCCGTCCCAATCCCTGACCCTGCTCCAAACCCTCCTGCACTTGATCCCAGGACCCCAATTCTTGTCTTTGAGGAGGTCCCGGACTGCTTGACTGTTGCTCCTCCTTCCTGGACAGAAGGAGAGGAGGAGCTTGAATGGGACCCCTGGGGATTTTCTTGATGGACCCCCCCAAGGGGAGAGTTCCTTTACTACCGCCCCAGCACGGTGGATTACGGTCTGGTCCCCGCCTTTTGGTGTCCCGTAAGGGGAGGGTCCCGCCTACCCTGCCCCCTGGCTCGCCCTCGATGTCCTTGGCTGGGGCTCGGGGGGCGCCTGCAGGTCCTTTGGCTCCGGCTTGGCGGTCGCCTGCGGGTCCCCCTCCGAAGCCTCATCGACAGTCCTCGGTCCCACCTCCAACACCTTGTCGTCGCCTGCAGGTTCCCCACCGTCGGCTCGTCGGTCGCCTGCGGCTGCCCCTCCTCCGACTCATCAGTCGGCTGTGCCTTCACCGGCTGTGGCTGCGCCGTTGCCTGCCGCGGCTCCACCTCCCTCCTTGCCTGCGTCAGCCTCCCCTCCGACTCCCTCCTCGCCTCTCCTGGTGCTCCCTCCGACTCCCTCCTCGTTCTCTCCGTCTGTCCCTCGGTCTGTCTCCTCGATCCCCTTGTGGTCCCCTCCTGCCTCCCTGTCGCCTGCGGCCCCTCCGGCAGCTGCCTGTTGCCTGCGGTGGTTCACTCGGCTCCTCATTGTCCTCCCGCCTTTGTTGCTCCGCCTCCTTCCTTCGCCCCTCCTGTTTCTGCTCTTCGTCCCTCTGTGTCTCCTCCATTCACTCCTGGTCCTTTTGTTCCTCCGTTCTTTGTGCCCTCTGTGTCTCCTTTCCTGATCTGCATGTCTGTGTTCCCTGTTTTGTGTCAGGTCTTGTCGTACTTCTTGTCCCTGTGCTTGTTCTGTGTTTCGGTTTTGTTCCCTGAGTCCCGTTGATGTTTTTTGCTCTTGTTTTTCAGGTTCTGTTTTCCCGGTCTTGTCTCCTCCGCCCAGAGTGCGCGCCTTTGGGGGGGGGGGTTCTGTCATGACCTGCTTGTCCGATCCTCCTGTGTGCCACGCCCCCCTCGTTACCTCGTGTCAATTGCGATTGTGACGACCTGTTGCCTGTTATTTTCGACTTGTCCTGTGTATTTAGTCTGCGTCTGAGTCAGTTTTCCCCAAATCTGTCATTAACGTTCATCCTGTGCTGCTCCCTGTCTGCTTTAAAAAAACCCTGTTTACCCGTATTCACGGCTTCCTTAGTCTGCTTCTCTGCTCCCTGCTCGTTTTCTCGCGCGGGTTGCAACAAAAATATTTTAGCATGATTTTTTTCAAATCAAACAATATTGATAATTCATTATTAATTAAGTCATTATTAATTAAGTCATTATTATTTCCATTTTTACTTAAAATTAGAATTGCCCCAAAACAAGTCCATAACGTGAAAAAAGTGACAAATTAAACTGACTGGAAACTAAAATCTAATTTAAATAAACAAATCATACAAAAAACCCATACATAAATCATACATAGAAATAACACACAAATGTGTATTCAGTGGGCTACCAATTCCCCCATGTGACTGCTACAATCAACTTACTGTATCTTTTTTGGGTCTGCTGGAAATCTATGAACTGTTAAACTAGGTTTATCACCTCTCTGACATCTCAGGCATATTTAACAAAAAAAATGTTTGAAAACTAAATATGTTGCTGTTGTTGCTGCTTTTTCTGCATTATAAGGAATTGCTTTTGGAAAGACCATGAGTTTGTTTGATCGACCACTATGTCAAGAAAAATCAAGGAAGATAAAACATAAAAAGCTTTTGTGTAATTCACAAATATTATATAAAGTTTTCACAAATATGTCTTTTTCACACATTATTACAGCAGATTATTAAAAGGTTAGAGGGCCTTTTTGTGCCCCCTTGACTTAGGGCCCGTGGACAACTGACCCGGTTTCCCCCCCTGTCTGTAGCCTTGATAATGCGCGAAAGGTTTCCCATTACAAATTTAATTATCTGTACTTTTAATGGGCAAAAACTATGCTTTGTGGTCATTTACTTAATTAGATACCACACAGAGACACACACACATGCACACACACACAGTTCAGAGTGAAGCTTAGGGCAGTGCAAAGTCAGGTTATATACCCAGCACCCTTGGAGCACTTTGTCAGTTTGTGTGACTAGTCTTAATGCAATTAGGTTCACCAGATCTGTGCCTGTTCTTTCATGCGTCACTAAAACATGATTAAATTCCCCCAAGATAAATTTTGTCGAGCGAGTGGGTGGGGGTCACCAATGAAAATATTATTACAAGCCTACCTTACACACTCTCCAAAAAATATGACACGATTCAATTCCTCCATGATAAATTTCACTAAGTTCACCATGACACATTATCGCCAACCAACTACATGAATGCTAGCAATAAAATTGTCAGAGTGGGGAGACTAGTAACAAAAGAAACAATACAAACTTTTATTTACTTTTAAAGAATTCAGAAAATCATCTTGCGCCCCACAGTTAGATGGTAGTTTGATGGATTAATAATAAAGCTGGGCTTATAAATAAGAGAAGAACATGAAATAACACAAGCAAACAGACCAGAAAATGGCAATAAAATATAAATGTTCTGTGAAGTATGGTGAATATCTAATGTCTTCATGCTGTATTTTTTCCAGAGAGTAGAGAGGCAGGCTTTATGTAACAATTCCCACTGCGATCCCTTCAGTAGTATAACTGACTTTTCCTAGGGTCATTCTGCATCTATTGACCTTATCCTTCAGATGGTATTGTTTAATATTTAATGACGATAAGGATGTAGCTTTTCAACTTAGGTTTGGTATTGATTTTGTATACCTGTATTGGTCCAAATATAAGACAGTGTTGTCGTCCCCCTCCCCCCCCAAAAAAAATCTACATCTAAAAAACTGTGATCATCTATTCAAGGAATAGAATTTAAATGTCATTATTCACATACAAATGTAGATGATATAAAGTATCCACATCCTAGGAAAATGTAGCTGCATACTTCAAACATAAGCTTTGTCCCAATTCCGGGGCTGCAACCTTCTAAGGCTGCATGCGAAGAACAAATACATCACAGTTGGTACAACAAGGCTGTCCCCATTTCAAAGGCTCCTTCAACTGCGGCTTCGAAATCTGTTGGATCATTCATGGGCCAACCTATCCCAAGATTCTTTGTGTGGATTTTAGAGCAATCGAAGGGGAAGATAGTGGCACAGGAGGTAGTGCTATCGTTCGGCAACTGGAAAGTTGCAGGTTCGAGCCCTGGTTCTTCCTGACCCCATCAAAGTGTCCTTGAGCAAGACACTGAACCCCAAATTGCTCCTGGTGTGCAGGTTGGCACCTTGCATGGCAGCCTCCACCACCGGTGTATGAATGTGAGTGTGGATGGGTGAATGTTAGGCAGAAATTGTAAAGCGCTTTGAGTACTTGTAGGAGTAGAAAAGCGCTATATAAATGCAGTCCATGTACCATTTTAAAAAGAATCAGCCTACAATAGCTACATGGCCGTGTCCTTCAAAGGGTGCAGCCCTGTAGTAGACACAATCAACGCTGTTTTAGCAATACAATGTGGTACGAGGCGTAATTCCACCCACAGTGCATGATTGGCTGACGGTGCGGGTTTGTCAGCAGAAACTGGCATGCATTGCTCTGCACTGCACATATCTTTAAATTGACTAGATCAATACATGTATTTGTGTATTTAGGTTGATTGTAAACTGTGTAATGTTTGCTGTGGAATGCATGTGTTTCGTTAGTGTCTAATCGTGAGTGTCATGTAAATTGTTGGCTTCCTTGTCTATACTGCTGATAGTGGCTATTAATAAAGAGTATGTAATTTTCATTTTAAAAGAGCTGTCATATACCTGACTCAACCACTCGCCACAATATGTTTTTTGCTCTTATTATGTGGGTCTGCTGCATCAAAAACATTCTGTGCCCTATAGGGTTGTGGAGTTTGTAATATTGATTATCTATCCTTATTCCCCCCTAAATAATACATTTGTTTATTGGAATGTTTGCCGTTTCATAAACTTATTGTAATTGCTTGTGGTGGCAAGATAAAACTTGGTATTTCTAAAACTTTTTTCCAATAAGAGTTGCAGAAAATGTGGGGGGTGGGGTTATCTTGTAATTGGGGTGTCTTATATTTGGGTCAACACGGTATTTTAGATAGCTACAGTTCTTACTCAGCTGTTGATTAGAATAATTCTAAAAGAGCTCACTTTCTGCACTTTCTGTAATCATGCAAAATTATGTTCATTACCCTCCTTTCACTATATTTGGGAAGCTATGGCCCTCAGTGATAGGTTATGGCTCTTTCCTTACTTTCCTGCAAGGGTTATGAGCCCATAGTCTGCCTCTCTCTGACAATCCTTCCTCTCTTACTTGCAGGTAGAATTTGGCTCTGGGTGAGTGGTCCACCATTCTGGTTACCAAGCCGATCAAGTGGTCGCCCTCCATCACCTGGAGTGAAATACAAAGTCACTCTCTCTGCTTGTCCACCTTACTGAGGGACCAATGGCATTTGTGAAATCAGTGATTGCTTAACTACAATGAATACCAAAGAGCTATCATGGGAGGGTTTTATTGCTATTGAAATTCTGTTGGCTTAACTAGATGTGGGATGTAAATACAGTAACCCTGTGCTGATATTAAGCATTGCAGTGCTTTAGCCCACTCCTTCAGTATGGTGTTAACAGACCCATGGAGTGAGACACAGAGAGTGACAGAGGGAAGGCAAGACAGTGAAGGTGGAAAGGAGTTTGGTTCAGAGAGAAGGTGTAGAAAACGTTACCACATCTAACAGAAACTGTAGATATCTCCTAAGTAATAACTAGAATGAAGTCATGAAGTCAAAAATCTTCACACGCTTAATAGTCTTAATAGTCTCCCGATAACTAACGATAATTTCCAAACTCTGACAGATTAATCACCTTCACAAGCATCGACCCACGATCTGTTTAAATTAAAAAGGTAAGGGCCATGTCTTCTATGCCTGTGCTCCATAGCTCCTGTGGTATGTACAGCGTAGACTGTCCATCTATGTAAGACAACCACCTTTGAAATAGCGTTCGCTCCGTTTGTTGTTACCATTTTGAAATGGTTGTCTTACGAATCATTATTCTTTGTTTGATGCATGGTTTCGTGTAAACATCCGCGACTGTTTATGACTACACCATATGTCTAATAGCCTGGGAGTGGATGATTCTACCCCATGTTTAATGGCTTGTGAATGGATGATCAGTCTATCTCAAAGCCAGTGCAAGGCGGGCATTGATTACAAATCGACTTTTATTTATTTAATTTAGAAATATATTATTTATACTATTTACAATTAAGTCAGATTAACAAATAGAGTTAATGCGCATTCTGTCAGGATGTTGGCGTGCTTACTCAATTAAGGGCCATGGGCTAGTGATTACAATTTCATCCGTCGCCATTTTGAACGTGCTTCGCGTGTTTACGCCCCTCCCCTTCCCCCAGCGATCGACCATTTGTCGCGCAAGTTTTGAACTGGCCGGCCGCGTACGGCCGAGCTGCGGGGCTAAAATGTTTGCTGGTTAAATGTTTTCTTCAACCTAACACTGGTAAATATCGCTAGAAGTTTTTCTTGTTCTTCTTTAAACACTACTTGTTTAAATTCCATCTGCTTTTCTTTCTTTCTTTTAAAAGTTAAAGTTTGGGACTTGTGTCGTTTGTTTAAAATACGATGTTTCGCTCGGGCATGTCTCTACTTGTTTAAATTCCGCCTGCTTTTCTTTCTTTCTTTTTAAATGTAACACTAAAGTTTTGCCCTAGCTTACGTTCATCCTGCTACATGTTTTATTATTCCTTAAAACGTAATTAAAAATAACACACTAATAAAATACATGTAATGTATTTTTATTCTATTAAAGTTTAACAACCCCCAAACCATACGACCCCCCTATCGGTAACACGTGGCATAAGCATGTATGGTACCATTTGGCCAAAACCCCTCCCCCCGACCAATCAGAACAAAGGATACGCCCACATCCCGCTTATGACGTCATAGATGGGGAGAGCTTTAAGCTCCACCCAAACTACCACATAACCTTTTTTACCCCCAAACCATACGACCCCCCTATCGGCAACACGTGGCATAAGCATGTATGGTACCATTTGGCCAAAACCCCTCCCCCCGACCAGTCAGAACAAAGAATACGCCCACATCCCGCTTATGACATCATAGATGGGGAGAGCTTTAAGCTCCGCCCAAACTACCACATAACCTTTTTTTTAGCGCATTAGCAAATTAGTAGAGATTAAGCAGATTGAGGGATTTATAGACATGGCTCAGTCGGAGCACACGGCCAGATTAGATCTGGCAGTTGTTCCTCCTGCCTCAACTGTCTCCAGTCCGGCTCCGGCACCAGCAGCCAGCACACGCGAGCCCTGGGTCATGGTCAGACGTGGCCCTAGGAGCTCTAAGATGAGGGCCTGTTGCACTTAGCAACACATTCTCTGCTCTCGGCAGTACGTCTGCCGAAGTGGAAATGGTGCTCATGATTGGGGACTCGATTGTTAGAAACGTTAGAGTTTGTAATAATTAGAAAGCAACGGTTTCTCTAAAATGCCTCCCTGGGGCCAGAGTTTCCGACATTGAGGCGAAATTAGACTCACTCTCCAACAATGAAGTCTCCACCTTGGTTGTTCACACTGGAACTAATGACATAAAGCCCCGACAATCCAAGGTATTAAAGAGGAACTTCATCTCTGTGTGTGCAAAAGCTAAAACAAAATGTCGGAGTCTAATTGTCTCTGGTCCCTTACCAATTCTCTATAGAGGGGATGTAGCCTATAGCAGGCTACTCTCCCTAAACCGCTGGTTAGAGACTTGGTGTACATCTCAAAACATTGCCTTTGTTAATAATTGGGACCTTTTCTGGAAACAGCCTGGTTTTTATAAACGAGACGATCTTCATCCTAACTGGAGAGGATAATTTATGTTATCCCAAAACATGGCGAGTAAATTACCTGCCTGACAGAGAGCACCAGCCAGGCCTCAGCCTTGCAATCTTAAATCGAAGGCTGTTTATTGTCCCACCTTTAGATCATGTTCAGCCTTGACCCAGGTGCTCCATCGCGTGGCGTCCACCAAATGTAGCAACTTTTTAGGAATAGAGTTGAGTGACCATAGAAAGAATATTGTAAGCATTATTAGACCAAGACTTAGACCAAAATGTTCCACTGGGGGCTCCTGTGCGGATAACTTAATATCAATTCCATTAATAAGATTGAATGAATCACAACATAAACCCATCATAAAATGTGTACTATTGAACGTTCGCTTTTTAGGAAGTAAATCACTTCTTGTTAATGATATGGTGCTGGACACTGTTTCAGACCTGTGTTTCTTAACTGAAACCTGGCTCAGACCCACAGATACTATACCTCTTGTTGAAGCCTCACCTGATGGGTTTAGTTTTGTACAGAAATCATGTGGTTCTGGGCGTGGTGGCGGCCTGGCATCTATTTTTAACACAATGTTAAAAATTTAACCCAAGATTATCAGAGATTTTATAACATTTGAAGCATTGCTAATCCACTTGGTGTCCGACCCGCCCATCTATTTTCTTATAGTTTATAGACCACCGGGACCATACATTTCATTTCTGGCAGAATTTGGGGAACTTCTCTCTGACTTAGTGATTAACTTAGAGAATATTATAATACTTGGAGACTTAAATATACATGTGGATATAGAGACTGATGCCTTCAGCAAAAGTTTCCTGTCCCTCCTGGACTCTGTTGAATGTCACAAACACGTAACAGGACCAACACATGATCTCAACCATACACTAGACTTGGTTATTACTCACGGAGTTTCTGCTTGTCATGTATCTGTCTGTCCATTGAATAAGTCCTTATCCAACCATTTTCTAATCACCTTCGTGGTTGAGCCACCCTCTTTGACTATGGCAGAGAAGATTATTAGGACACATCACCTAAATGACGATTTATTAATGCAGTAAGTAATGAGAACTTCATGTCTATTACAGATGTCAATGAAGTCACCCATGACTTCAATACAGTGGTTAGGCAGATTTTAGATAAAACGGCTCCTTTGAAAAATAAAGTAGTGAAAACCACCAGACATTCCCCAAGGTTTAATGATTACACATGCTCTTGCAAACAGGAGTGCCGCAGATTGGAGCACAAATGGAAATCCACGGACATAGAAGTGTTCAAGTTGGCATGGTCTGACAACATGCAACAATATAAACTAGCCCTTCATAGGGCACGCTCAGCCTACTATTCTAACCTCATTGATTGCAATAAAAAATAACCCTCACTACCTTTTTAAAACAATAGCTTATCTAACAGACAAGGCTGAACCTCTGCCACTGGATAATTTCAGTAGCCAACATTTTATGCACTTCTTTAATGATAAAATTACAAACATTAGACTTCAAACATGTCCCAATGGTTCACAATTAACTTCAGTGCAAATGGATGGTGAACACACCCTTAATTACTTTGAATTAATTAATGAACAATACCTAAAAACTATTATAATTAAGATTAAATCGACTATGTGTCCACTGGATCCAATCCCCACTAGGCCTTTTAAAGAATCTTTGGGAGTTCTGGCGAGACCGATAAGTGCCATACTGAATGTGTCCCTGTTATCAGGCGACGTACCTGACCAACTGAAAATAGTCACTACTGAAGAAGCCAAGTTTGAATCCACATGAGCTCAGCAGTTACAGACCTATATCTGCAGGGATTTTAGGAACTGTGGCAGCTTGGATCGAAAACTGGCTAACTGACAGGAAGCAGCGAGTAGTTATTAGAGGTACAATGTCACAGTGGGCCTCCGTTCATAGTGGGGTACCGCAGGGTTCAATTTTAGGACCACTATTGTTCCTAATTTACATCAATGATATTGACACAAATACATACAGTAAACTGGTTAAATTTGCAGACGACAACAAGGTGGGCGGGGTAGCAGATACTAATCTAGCAGCAGAGAGGCTTCAACGGGATCTGGATTTAATTAGCGAATGGGCTGATACTTGGCAAATGAAATTTAACACAGATAAATGTAAGGTAATCCATGCAGGGAGCAGAAATATAAAGTACAGATATTTTATGGGTTCCACTGAAATAAAGGTAGCTGATTACGAGAAAGATCTCGGTATGTATGTTGATGCTTCCATGTCCCATTCTCGCCTGTGTGGGGAAGCAATAAAAAAGGCGAACAGAATGTTGGGTTATATCTCTAGGTGTGTGGAGTTTAAGTCAAGGGAGGTGATGTTACACTTATATAATTCCTTGGTAAGACCCCACCTAGAATACTGTGTGCAGGTTTGGTCACCATACCTCAAGAAGGACATTGCTGCCTTAGAAAAGGTGCAACGAAGAGCTACGAGAATGATTCCTGGTCTTAGAGGAATGTCTTATGAGGAGAGGTTAGCGGAACTGAATCTGTTTAGCCTTGA